AGACCCAGCTCGTCTAATGAACCCAACGTGTAGTGCGCACCAGCCCGTCTAATGAACCCAACGTTTAGTAGACCCAGCTCGTCTAATGAACCCAACTTGTAGTGCGCACCAGCCCGTCTAATGAACCCAATGTGTAGTGTGCACAAGCCCGTTTAATGAACCCAACGTTTAATAGACCCAGCCCGTCTAATGAACCCAAAATGACGTGTTAGTAGACCCAGCCCGTCTAATGAACCCAATGTGTAGTGCGCACCAGCCCGTCTAATGAACCCAACGTTTAGTAGACCCAGCCCATCTAATGAACCCAACGTGTAGTACACACCAGCCCGTCTAATGAACCCAACGTTTAGTAGACCCAACCCATCTAATGAACCCAACGTGTAGTATGCACCAGCCCGTCTAATGAACCCAACGTTTAGTAGACCTAGCCCGTCTAATGAACCAAACGTTTAGTGCGCACCAGCCCGTCTAATGAACCCAACGTTTAGTTGACCCACCCCGACTAATGAACCCAACGTGTAGTGCGCACCTGCCTGTCTAATGAACCCAACGTTTAGTAGACCTAGCCCATCTAATGAACCCAACGTGTAGTGCACACCTGCCCGTCTAATGAACACAACGTTTAGTAGACCCAGCCCGTCTAATGAACCAAACGTTTAGTGTGCACCAGCCCGTCTAATGAACCCAACATTTAGCAGACCCATCCCGTCTAATGAACCCAACGTGTGGTCTACCCGGCCCGACTTAAAACCCAACGCGACGTGTGGCAGACCCACCCTGAGCTGTCTAATGAACCCAACGTCTGGTAGACCCAGCGCGTTACATACAAAAAATTAAACGAAGGCTGAATACATATACTAGCAGATAATAGATGAATACTATAAACCAAAATTAAGAGTGGTACAAGAATGAGGGGAGCAAAGCATCCTTAAATGTTAATCCGATTTGAATAAAGAGTTAAAACCTACCCTAATTCAGTTAGATATATAAACAAACCTAACCCGATTTGAATAAAGAGTTAAAACCTACCCTAATTCAGTCAGATCTATAAACAAACCTAATCGGATGAAAATAAAGAGTTAAAACCTACCCTAATTCAGCCAGATATATAAAAAACCCTAATCGGATTTGAATAAAGAGTTAAAACCTACACTAATTCTCTCAGATCTAAAAACAAACCTTATCCAATGTGAATAAAGAGTTAAAACCTACCCTAATCCACTCAGATCTATAAACAAAAATGGATCCATTTGATCACG